CAAACAAAAACAGAAAAGAAAAAAAACATTTCACGTTGATTTTTCTCAACCCCACCCACAGCTTCGCGATGTCGATCACCGTCGGCACGAAGTACTTCGCCCAGGGTCCGCTCACGGCCGACGAGCTTCGCGACTTCTCGCAGCGACGCGCCGTCGCCGACGAACACTTCCGCAATGCGCGCGGCATCGACGGCGTCACCGACAGCATCTTCGCCGAGCACTACGAGCACGAGAGCGTCCTCGTGCGGCGCATCGACGACCTACTGCAGCAGATGTACGCGCAGGCCGGAGACAACGTGCCGGACGCCGAACTCGAGCACGAGTGGGACCACATCGGCGAGCACTACCTGCTGCTACTCGCCGACATCCTCGCCGACGTCTCCGAACACATCTCACACGAGCTGGTCGCCGAGCTGCAGGCCGCCGACCGGCACGCCGTCGAAGTCGTCTCGCTGTTCGTCGTCATGTGCGCGTTCTGTCCGCTCGTCGTCTCCGTCGCCTATAAGGCGTCGTCGAGACTGCAGAATTTCGCCGTGCGACTCGTCGTTCTGTCGAAGCTGTTGAACTCCGAGAAGCAGCGCTCCGAGGAGCTGCTCTACCAGATGCTGCCGCGAGAGGTCGCCGCGCAACTTAAGGTTGGTTGGTGATCGCGGGGGCGGTTGTGACGTCACTCGGCGGTGACGTCACTCGGTGATGAAGTCACTTGGTGGTAGTAGTAGTATCGTATGGCATCAACATCACACCGCCACAACCCCACGGGCAATCCATTTGCAAAAGAGTTTGCCACATTCATTTATAGTGACATATCTTCCCGGTATTCTCGTCACTGGACAGTTTAGTACCAGGGCCCGGTTTTACGAACCGTAATTAACTTTAATTATAATTAATTAAACCATGATTAAGAACGTAATTACGCTTCGTGAAACCGGGCACAAATGATCAGTGTTTTGAGGGGCGCCCTGCTATGCCTCGGTGGTGACGTAACGTAACGAGGGAATCTCGCGCGGAGGGAATTCAGACAGAGAAGCGAGAACGGACGAATCGTGGCTATGATGGGGAGGAGAGGGCGGGGTTTGTTCGTGTCACAATTACCGTAACGCGTTTTACATACTAGTTTTCATGATGATGATGATAATAACAATCATATAAATAATAATAAGAAGAAGAAGAAGAAGAAGAAGAAGAGGGTAAAGAAAAAGACGACGACGACGAAGAAGATCGAAGAAGAATGACAACAACAACAACAACAACAACAACAACAATAATAATAATCTATTTTTTAAATCGTAGCAAGAGAGAGGTATACGTGAAGTCTATGGTTTCTCTTTCCTTTTTCTCCCACCCCACCCCCCTCTTCTCGCAGGTAAAGCGCGTAAACATAATTATGTGATTATTTTCGTCATCAGATTAACAACAGCGTCAGAGCGGAGGCTTTCGAAGCCGTCACCATCTACTTCTCCGACATCGTCGGTTTTACGAGCATCTCCGCTAGGAGCGCTCCGATCGAAATAGTCGACATGCTGAACGCCCTCTATATGATATTCGATACGACATCGCAGCGCCACCAAGTGTACAAAGTAGAAACTATCGGCGACGCCTATATGGTGGTCAGCGGTCTCCCGATAAGAAATGGTTTGTGCTGGCGCAAATAGTAGCAAACGAAAACTATTATAATGGGTATAATTGTATAATATAGGCCTATAGCCATTAAATTAGTATATGATATTTCCATACTAATATTAATTTTAATTAGAATTAAAATTCATAATAATTAATATTAATTATTTAATAATTATATATTAATGCCTGTTGTTCGGGGCACTATGCTCTCATAGTGTTGCTGAGGGAAGGTATAGTGCCCGAGCGGTAGCGAGGGCACCATTCCTTCCCAACGCAACACTATGACAGCATAGTGCCCCCAACAACAGGCATTAATGTTTTTAGTGCATCACGTGACTATGCAATCTACTTTCCATGCTTATATACCTTCTTTATACTCCCTAATTTGCCGGTGCATTCGATGTAACAAAACGCTCGACAGAAACACAATCGCCATTAATTCGAAACTCTTGCGTGGCGCCCAGACGAAGAAGATTCGTGACGTGAACACAATGCGTTATAATAAGAATGCGTAGCGCAAGCAATAGTGCCCGCTCAGGCGGGCACTATTGTTTCATAGAGTTCGTTATCCAATAGAATTTCAACGATTTATCACGTGATGCACTAATTATTATTATTGACAATATTCAAATGCTAAATGGTCACATCGTCGCGGTGATCGATTGTCATATACATACATTCACCTATATACAGGAACACACGCACGCGCACGCACACACACGCATCTGTTGCGTGCGTGCGTGCGTGCGTGCGTGCGTGCGTGCGCTTGCGTGCGTGCGTGCGTGCGTGCGTGGGTGCGTGCGTGCGTGCGTGCGTGCGTGCGCGTGCATACGTGCGTGCGTGCCTGCCTGCTTGCGTGCTTGCGTGCCTGCGTGCGTGCGTGCGTGCGTGCGTGTCTATTATCGTACATGTGAGTTATAACAGCCTGTTCTGTTAGCATCTACGACAAATACGACATACGCATCTCCTTTGACACTATTTGTCATATGAAGATTCTTCCTATGATAAATATTGTTGTATCTGTTGTGCGCATCATAGAAGTTTAGGAGCGCTATTATGAAGGCAAGCAGTGAATTTCAGCTGTAAAGCGGAACGAAGTTGACCCGCCAATGTTTGTTATCGGAAGAATCTTCCTATGACAAATAGTGTCATAGGAGAGCGAATATGCGTATGTCGTATTTGTCATAGATGCAAGCAGAACATGTTGGCTATAAGTGGCATTGCAGGAGACCAGCATGCGGCGGAGGTGTGCACGATGGCGCTGGAACTACGTGAGCAGGTGAGAGCCTTCCAGATCCCTCACCTCGATGAGACGGCCATCGAACTACGGATTGGAATTCACTCAGGTCTCTCTCTCCCTACTACACTATAGTATTATATGTGGTGCGTGTGTGTGTGTGTGTGTGTGTGTGTGTGTGGTGTTGTGTGTGGGTCGTGTGTGGCTGTGAAACACGCCGGGCGCAGCGCAACACAGTCTATTACCACGCCTGTGATGACCCCCTACGCAGTATGCGACCCATACGCCGATGCGTACACCCAAGTATACCCAATGTAGGCAACGGGTGAAAATATCGTGCAGATTTAGACACCAAGTATTGCTACACCAAGTATACGCGCCCTGTTGCCCACCAATTTACAGACAAGTATACACCTGTATACCCCCTACATAGCTCGACCATCGGCCTTGTGAGATGTTTTACGAGTTCCAGTGGGTATGCGCCTCGAATGTTAGTCTCGAGGAGCGGTGAAATATCGTCAGATTTAGACACATGCTGCGGTTAGTGTGTGGTGTTTACAGCTGCTGATGAGTATACGCTGGTCTGTGTGTGTGCTGTGCGATGTGTCGCTGGTGTCGTGTCGTATCATGAGAGTATGCACACCTGTTATACCTGGCGCGTGTAGCCATATTCGAGCGCCATCGCCATGGTACACCAAGTATACCAATGCTATCAACCGGCTGAAATATCGGTCAGATTTAGACATCCAAGTATCGCTACACCACACGATATTTACGCTCGCGCTGGTGCGCGTGCGCGTCCTGTTGTGGTGTATAAATAAATACCTAGAGTGTAACAAACGGCGGAAAACGGGAAAAATTTGTGTATTTTACGCAAAATGTTGCTTCTGACTTTAACGCCAAGTCTTAGAATAGGGTTCATGGTATGCTTATTATTTGGCTCATTATTAGCTGCTTGAGTTAATATATATAATTTTTCTTTTTCTTGCGTTAAGCAATTAATCTTCTTTCCGTTTACCAGTTCTTTAGGTTGTTGTTTCTCTTTCTTCTGGCTCTATCCTCTCTCCTCTCTCACGCATGTCAGCCACACGCCGGCACACACACACACATAACGACACACACACCACACCACACACACACACACACAACACATACACACACACACACACACACACACAAACACACACCACACACACACCACTCTTCTTTCAGTTCGTTGTACCTCTCGCTGCCTCTCTAGGCTCTGTCTCTCTCTCTCTTTTCTCTCTCTCTCTCTCTCTCTCTCTCTCTCATGCGCGCCATGGGTATCTTATTATTTTTATCTCTCTCTTTCCCTGTTCTCTCTCTTTCTCTCTCGTCCGTCTCTTCTCGTGCTCTCTCTCTTCCTCTTCTTTCCTCTTTCTTCTTTCTCTTGCTCTCTCGTCTCTCTCTGTCTCTCTCGCTCTCTCTCTCTCTTCTCCTCTCTCTCTCTCTCTCTTCTCTCTGCTCATCCTCTCTCTCTCTCTCGTGTCTCTCTCTTCTCTGATCCCACTTTGATTTAGCCCAGCCATCCTACTATACTTTGCAGTACAAGGTCCGTTGCTGTGCCGGGCGGCCTCAGGCGTGCGTCGGCGAGATTCAGGATGCACGCTACTGCCTGTTCGGAGACACTGTGAACACTACTCGGCGGGATGGAGGTCGACCTCTCAAAGGGTATCGAACTTTTATCGAACACGTTCTCATGTTGCTCGTATTTTTAGTTGTTACGCGTTGATGAATCTATGAGGGAGGTCAAAAGGATGTGAGTGAGAAGGAAATGGGTCGAGATGGTGATTTAACGCGAATTCATTGATTTTTGTGTGGTTTTAGTCTACGTTATGAAACAGTGACAATGTGGATATATACATTAATGGTGCACTTTTGAGTGGAATCGTGGAACTTGTGTACCACTTGAGTTCCTAAAGATTTTTTGAGGTAGTGCTAGTCAAGCAGAGCCACCTGGCGGTTGGGTAGATCATAGATGATGCGTTATGCTGCTATTATGCATTTGGCCATAACGTCAGGAATATTTACTCAATTAAACCCCAAAATAGCATAAATGATTTGCATATATCTATCTGATACGATACAGGCAATTATTAGATATAGATATAGGCCTATTTAAACAGTAGAAAATTTCAGGTGCTGGATATTCGTGTTATCAAGACAGTGTAACTTATTATATTTTATTATAAGTATTACCGTGTATATATCATATGATGAACACATATGATAGCAATTTACAAGCATTCATTGTATCGTAAGAAGAATAAGTGTTATAATTATTAATAGTAGCATAAGTATTTTTAGTATCATAACTATTATTATTATTATGATGATGATGATGATGATGATGATGATGATGATGATGATGATGATGATGATGAGTATTCTAAGTATTAAGAGTATTAAAGCACTGTAAGTATATTATACGTATTGCAGACATTGTAATTATATTCCCTTTGTGTTATTTTTCCTTTTCTGCGTTCTCTCGCCCGTCGTCAGCCGACCACATTCACATCAGCCAGTCGACGAAGGAAGTGCTCGATAAATTTGGAGGCTACACAACCGAGGTGCGCGGTTCGATCCCCGTCAAGGGTAAAGGCATGATGGTCACACACTGGCTAATCTGTAAGACGGAACATCCAGTAGTGGACACTACACAGCAGCCAACAAGCGTCCCCTGTTGACGAGACATCGTACGTATAGTGTACTGCTAGCAAACATTGCAGTACTGGTCCGGTAATGGTCCCGTACTGGCTTCACTATTCTGTGTGTCGTAAGATTTTTTGTCTGGTATTGAAGTATTTATTAACGTTGTGCCGCGCCGGAAAACGTCGATTAACGAATAACATTGTTTTTATTTTCCCCACTGCAGAGAATAGAATAGATGTACGCATTAAATATTTTGTAATATAACGAAAACACGATGCGTTTCGCTGCATTTATTTACCTAAGAAATATTCTAAAATAATCACGTCTTTAACTGCGCGAAATTTGACGAAATATAGCAGAGCAGCAGAAGAGAAGATGCGACAAAGCAATAACGCCGTACTGCATGTCATCGCATAATAATCATCGTGAAAATAATAATTTAAATGTCGAAGGACATTTTGCGGCAAACAAATGGAAATTGATTCGGCAAAGTAAATTGCATTTGGCGCTCTTCTCTCATTAATTATGAGCATGACAAAATCTAATGAAAGCCGTAATAAAAATGTAGTGTACCGTTTAATCACATTTTAATTGCATTTTTAGTGTTCGTAAAGCATGAAAGAGCATCGAATGAAATCGAGTGAACCCTCACCGTAAGCTAGCAACCTGAGCACCCACGTAATAACGAGTAGATTTGTTGAACACACCCCGCCATAAAAGCTAAAGCAACGCAGTTGCAGAGAATGAGAACAAAAAGGGGAAATCTCGTCATAGTTAAAGGGGATAGAGGTCTTCACTGGCGATGTTCTAATCAAGGTGGCCTCCGGAATCTTTCGCTAAACCGTATTTACCTCTACAGCCGATGCTGTGATCAAGCGCATTCCTTCAGGGAAGACAAGACATATGGGAAATGGCAATAAGCACAATATAACTAATATTGCTCCACGCATTATTTGTGATACTAATAAATGTATTGTAATCGATAAGCCGTGGCGGTGCTGGCAGACCGGAACCGCTTCGAGCTTTAGACAATAGCGGACGGATCTTTAAGAACTAAGTTACTATCACAACATCACCTAGCAGGCGCGAACAAAGACAAACAGGCGCGGGGCGGGTCTGCCGGTATTCAGGGATAAACTGGCCCCGCCGGACCAGAACTGATTAGAGCTGAAGATAATGGCGGACGGACAATTCATAACTAAAGTACTATTATAACATCACCTAGGAGACACGGCAGCATCGGTTAACTGACGCTCATAGGGTCTATGTCCCCCAGGGTACTGCCGGAACGTACCCTGGGTACGGTCCGGTATACCGGAACGTACCCTGGTAACTATCTGATATGATTAGGGTTAGGGCTAGGGTTAAGGTTAGGGTTAAGGTTAGGGTTAAGGTTAGGATTAGGATTAGGGTTAGGGTTAGTGTTAGTGTTAGTGTTAGTGTTAGTGTTAGTGTTAGTGTTAGTGTTAGTGTTAGTGTTAGTGTTAGTGTTAGTGTTAGTGTTAGTGTTAGNCTGAATCTTTCTTGCTCGCTCCTACCTGTGATCCTAAACCCCTTACTCCGGCCCCAGTCCTGTGTGAGAGCCCTAAACCAACCCCATCCCTGTGGGAGATCTCCAACCCCCGAGAACTTGGACGACACCACCCTGGTCCAGGCCTCTCTGCAAACCATCTTCGTGCGGTCCTGTGCACGGGGAGCATTCTTCCTAGCCTCCAGTCTCTAGGTGGAACCCCGCCCAGCCAATTGCCCTGCAGTGTATGAAACCCCCCCCCAGTTCCAAAGAACTGCAGTACTTAAAGAACGGTAATCTGCGGCAGTACGGCGGGCGCTGAACTGGGGAGGGGGTTCATACATGATACCGTTCTTGAGTCTACGGTCGCTGTCCTACGATTGTCCTACGGTGCACACAGGCACACGTAATTTTTTATTAATTGTTGTTAATTTTATTTTAATTACAATTTTTATAAATTTAATTTTAAATGTTTGTCATAATTAAATTGTTAATTAAAAAAAAATTAATGTAATGTTTTATAACAATTTTTTTTCAATTTAATTTTTGTTTATCTAGTGGCGTGCAACGGGTCGCTGGTCTCTACGCGTGCACATTACAAATAATACGCTAGCTGCACAATTAAACTCTATAATAAATGACATAATAACATAAAAATATACTGGTCAAAAAATATACAACAGTGTATCATTTACACTGCCAGGACTGCCTGATGTCGTTTCCACAGTACTTCTTAAACTCGTGATGGTTCACCAAGGTGAATGACATTTATTTGCAGATGAATAAAACTAGACCAAAACACAATGAAGATTGTCAGATTGCGTGAATGAAATTTTGTGATAACGGCTTCTCGAGCGGTGAATGACACTGAAATAGTTAAGAATTATTTTCTTCCTCCTCTGCCATCCTACGCTGTCTGCTTCATACTTCAATCATAGCTGAAAGCCACGTATACTGCGCATACTCGACTCTCACCGCCCATCAGAGGTCTGACGTTAGAAAGCATCATGCGAGTTCTCAGCTTTTCAGCGTTTTTTAGTTTTATTCTCACTCTCATAATGCTTACCGTGTTCGCTGATTAACAGTAATGTTGAAATAACAGATAAAATGGCTCTTAAAACCGCATGCAAAACAAATCATGCTCGATTACAATTTTGCGCTTCTTGTTGCATTTTCGCTGTCATGTCTCGCACTTCCGCCGTACTCGAGACCTGCAACAAGAGGCTAACAGAATGCAAAATCGCACCGGAGATATTCTTTGCGTCAGATGTATAAACACAGAGGTGCATAGTAGCGCTTACCAAAAACAGAGGTAAGTTGTAACCTATAAAATATTAGTCTTCAAAAGTCCGAGGACTATAACGAAGACGGAACGAGAAGTGATCAAATCCTCGTTGGCGTACCGCCAGACGAGAATACTTATCACACCACGAATAGATCCTTTGTTGTTAATTATGTTCGCTTCGTTTGAGAACGCCATTTGTGATTTTTGACAAGTTCTTGACTCGAAAAATGTATTGCCTGCTATATGTGGTCAAATCAATTTTCTATGCTATAAGCTGCATAAGAGGCCAGTATTCGATTTTTGAATGTTGGAATCAGTTGATTTTTCGCGATGGCAGGTGAGACTATATTCAGCCGTATATTAGTTTTCCTGAGCAAAATTTCGCAATGCATCGCTTTTAAGACAAAGAAAACCGGCGTATCCTTTCGAGAATGTAAATGAGATCCGAAAAGCAAATCGAATGACGAAAACGGGCAAAAAGTGAACCCTAAACATCGAAGGAGTTGAATGCACATGCGCGCTACAGTGTTAACGTCGAAATACTATAAAGCGTTAAACAAAGCAGCGCATAGGATGCCATGGCACTGATGGTAGGGTGACCATAAACAAATGATGGCATAGCAATAATTTAAAAATTAGAATCAAAGATTTAAAAAAATAATTAAGTTTAAATAAAAAAAATGTATAATCAATTAAAAATTCAATTAAAATAAAATAAAAATAAAACAATAAAAAATTTGGTTTTTAAAAAAATTGGGCCTTTCACTCTAATAAACCGTAGACAACGACCCGATAGGACCATAATGGTTCCGCCGATTACACGCGTTGCAAGTTGGTCGCGGCACAATTATATGCGCGGCGCCTGGCAAGGCCCAGGTTTTATTGGGACACGGGTATACTCGAAGTGCCCAGCATATTCACATAGAATCACTAGCATCAGTTCAAAGTGCGAATAGATTATTCAGCGGCGGGGCCGTGTGCGTAAAATGCTAACGCTCGGTATCGTAATTAACGTGGGCAAATGCCATGAAGGGTGAGAAAATGCAGGCCCCTGCTGACACAGAAGACTAACGTTTCGGGACTGAAAAGCCATATCATACATCAATCGCCTATCGTGCGAGCCTTTGGTTGGGAGAAATGCCGAGAAGACGTGTCTCTACATTCGCAGCAGAGGGCTCTACATAGTCTCCCCAAGAGGCCTACTGCTCCATTTCATTTCTCTGGGTGCGGCCACACATTTCAGACAAAGAGAATTCCGCCTTTGATTAGATTTCGCTGCCTTGGATACCTCTATTCGACCTTTATAAACACCCTCCCCCCTACCACTGTATCAACTTCCACCGCTGTTTGTCTGCGTGGCAGCCTAGCTTTATTGTTGTCGTGGTTTACTTTACCGCAGACTGCATTCATGACGTTCTCTAGCATCATTAATGCTAATGTAAGCAACGACTAAGGTCGTTAAGGCTGTACGGAGACTATAAGAGGTCGTTGGCTTTTTTGCCTGACTGTGCATACCGCACTGCATGGAACTACTTGCATGCATAATGAAGGTGCAATGAAAGGACCCGTTTCTCGAGGGAAGTATTTATTGAAAGCAACAGAATAAAAAGTGAACAAACGACGTGTGTGTGTGCATGCGTGCGTGTGTGTGTGTGTGTGTGTGTGTGTGTGTGTG